TTATAATAATTGTTTAATTTACATAAATAATATTATCGCTTAAATTATTGTTATAACAAACAATTTTGAATAATTTTAGCCCGAATATTAGTTATTTGCCGAATAATATTGACACGTGTATTTGTTATTTGTACAAATCGCGAATATTCGGCAATATGTCATTTTGCGTTAAAAAATAACAGTACGTTGCTGCACCATGATCATATGAGTTTGTCGGATAATGGTTAATATAATGTGATTTAACTTTTTTGGGTTCTGGTAGCAATGCCAGAATAATTATATTTTGAGGCTTGAATCTGAGTTCACAGTGCAAATTACAGATAACTGCATATATTGCACCAGTAGAATATATAGAATTTTGGAAGGGACTAAACTAGTTCAGATTAATCATAAGTCTAAGATGTGTATTGGCATGTTTTAATGTGAAGAAATTTTTATCTTGATCTTTAAAATTTTTCTATATATTACCATCATAAATATTGGCAAAGTAATTATCATTTATATTTCTATTAATCCATTTTCTGCATAATGCTTCAAATTTGGGTTGGTCATATAATAATTTGAGCTGATGTTTAATACTAATTGTTAGATAAGTAAGCAAAGGACGATATAATGTTCCTTCCTTTGTAAGTATCTCCTTTGCCAATTGTTGATTATAAAGTTGCTTTATTTTAGACATTAGGTGACTAGAATATTTTACAAAATTATAATTAAGACATATCGGAATTTGTCTAGACAATTTTGTTGATACTTTATCAGATTCATATAACTTATTACATTCTGGATATGTTGTATAATTATTTATGCATATATCTAATCCTATTAATTTTTGAGTCATATATAGTGATTCAGGAAAGTTTTTGAATTGGTTTTTATTAAGATTAGTCAATAGATAATGCATAAACTTAATTAATGATTCTGTTGCAGTATTAGACAACTGATATCTTTGTTGGTATTTTAAGATCTATAATAATATCCAACTAAAGTCTTCAAGATTTTCAATATCTTTGAATATTTCTTCATCTCTGCTTTTAATATTGGGAACAAAATAATCTATTATGGTCTCCTCATCATTGCTTTCAGGTTCTATTTCTGCAACTTCTTCATAATCGAAGATATCTAAAGTCTTTAAAACTATATCAATATCAGGTTGTTCTCTAATTATAGCTTTTGTTTTCTTTTTATCTTTTTTAGTTACAAATATTGGTTCTTCTTGAAGATTAATAAGATTAATATCAATTATATTAGGAATATCAGTTAGAGATGTGCCACTACTTTCTATATGAGAATTAGTAGAAGAAGAAATATTGGTTTGAGGTTTAGAATCTACTAATTTCTCACAAATTTCATATTTTTTAATATGAGCATCTCTTGTTTGAGAATCACAGAGTTCTTTTTTACCTTTGCATATTTTATACAGTATATACAAATAACTTTTTTTGATTTTTTAATTCAGGTAATTTAATATGTACTTGATAACTTATTTTTAGTCTTTTAGGAGTTATGATGTTAGATATCGGGAGGTAAGGCAGAGAAGAAGTCTTTAAATACAAAATTTTTTATAAATATATTTTTTATTTACTATGTTGCAATAATTTTTTTATAGCTAAACAAATATGCTAAATAGAGTATTTTACATACTCACAATAAAGCTGTTGATCTGTAAAAATTGCTAAATGTGGAGCATCCTCATTTCATAAGACATTATAAAACACACATTATTTGGTTAAAATATAGCAATAAACAAAAACTTGCAAGTATGAATATTATATACCTTAAAACTCTCATATTGAATATTTTTAAAAATGTTTTTCCTGAAACTATTACAAGTGGTGTTGAAGTTCATGAACTAGATTTATGTTCTATATACAATGAAAAAATTTTTTTGCATATACTTAAAAAATCATTTACTATATTAACATGTAGTCATACTGTGCACTGTCTTTGTCTTGAGAACCTTAAAAAAACTATGTTTACATGTTCTGTTAATAATTGTAGTACAAAAATCAAAATTATTGAAAAGTTATCACTAATGTGAGCTTCATTACAAAGAAGTATAAGTATAGATGAAAGATTACAAGATCTGTTAATATTTGGTAAAAATTCTTTAGTGAATCTAGATACAATCGTAAAAAAGAACTCTGAATCTGGCATATCTAACTTTACTATAAGTAATTTACTATCTAAGTGTATTGATGAATCAACAGATAAAATATTAAATAAGAAACAAAAACAGGCTAAGAAAGAATCACATATATTAAAAAATCTTATAAAAGAATTATCTACTGAACCTGAAGCTCCACAAGATTCTGTAACTAGAAAAGAAAATGCTGTTAATTTTAATGATTTGTATAATAATATAACCTATACAGAAACTCAAAATAAAATTATAAATCAGGAAGTTATAACCAGCTATTATCTTCTTAATAAAGCACTTGAGAATAGGTATGATTACTATAAAAAAAGTAATCCTAAGCAAACGGCTTAGGCCTTAGTTAATAAAGAAGTTAGGTCACAACTTCTAAACTCTGTTAGTGATGACTTACTTTAAAAGAAAAAAGAATAGGCTTTGAAGATTTATAATCTGTTTAGTGAAATTGGTATTAAAAAGATTCAAAGAGTTAAATCTCTTACGGTATCATCAATATCAAAATTAAGTCAGGATGAAATCGATCAAATATTGGTTAAATTTGCAAAATAAATATTTACTGGGCCAGTATCACATGATGTTGTGAACTCAGTTCACATTTTATAAAATACATTTTTATTGCATACAATAATTTATTTATTGTTAATTTCACACTGATGAGATAGCTATTCACTTGTAATTTATAACGAAATAATATAATTTATTAATAAAATAAAAAAATATATTAATAAGTAAAAAAAATGGATAAAGCATTGATAACGAAGTTTTTTTCAATGATTGATGATTGATAATCTCGATGATCCCTATATTAAGGTTAATGCTAGGGACAGTTATGTGGTAACAAAATTCAATTTATATGATGTGATGTGAAATATATTTGTGCGATTCTGTGGTATAGTTGGCCAAATTATGTACTATTCTGTGGTATACTTGGCCAAGTTATATGCGGTCCTGTGATATATATATAGCCAAAATCTGTCAGAACTTTTCAGACTTTATTTCAAAAAATTTTTATACCTGTAAATTGCCACATTATATGCCATTCTGTGGTGATATACACCAAATTATGTGATATAAGCATCTTTATGTAAATTCTGTAATGTAATGTAAAACATATAAAATCACTGTTCCTGGTTAACGCGAGTGAGATACATACAATAGTATTTCGTTATGGAGCATGAATCTCGACTTTTATCAACAAAACACTTTGAGTTTCTTTGTGAACTAAGTGTGAAAAATGTTTATGATTACTTTAAGAAACAGAAGGCCTCCTCTTGGTGCATTCAAGACTACACTAAATATATAATTGAAACTGAGACAGAGCTTGACTTCTCTCAAGCTATTAACCTTTTCGCTGATAATTTGGCGCTATCAAATCAACTCATTTTAATGCCAGGCCCAGTCAGATCTTTCTGTACTGAATACATCAAATGGTTAAAGGTACGGTGCTTTCGCTACTATTGAATAATAAATATAACACAAATCCTCACACAAACAAAACTCAAATTATTACAGTCCGATGCTGGATTAATAATGATAAATTTGTGTTTCAATGTATTTTCAACTGAAAAAATGCATAAACAATCGGCAGTTCTTCATAATACTGTTGAGATGGGTTGATATATGTGCATTTACATTTTTTTCAGAAACAGTACTTAACACATTATCATCCAACAGGAGACAGTATGTCTTAATGCAAAAACCAACACGTTTCAAGATCATTTGAGGTCAGAAACATCAGGAATTCTACAAACTTTATCACAAACTTTTCGCGTCCAAATGCCATTTTTGAATACGCCTAACAAGAGACCTTTTGAGAAAGAGGAGCTTCAACAGTTATTCTCATTCCCTCTTTCATGCGTTGTTTTCACAAATAGAAGACGTCCTAATGGTTTTTAGTAACTTTTAAATATATATATGTCCAAAAACTTTCAATTGTATGTGCATTCGGTTGAACAATTGAGGATTTAACAGAAGAAATAGGAGACGAACTCGCTAGGGAATCGTTCATCATACAGGACATTAATCCTGAAATATGGACATCAGACTTGGAGAATTATATTGATACTGTCCTCGAAGAGAATGAAGAAAATTTTAAAAATAAGGCCCAAGTTAAAATATTGGATGACTATTGTGAAAAAGTTTTCATTGACTTGTAGGTAAACATTTTAATATATGTTAGTTTATCAAAGGCGATATTAAAAATCACTTTCCTTTTAGTTTCCACCTTGTAGATATTAATCCTTCAATGAGCAGAAAAATCAGAGAGCGCAAACACTTAATATATCATATTTCTCCATTATTTAAGTTTTACGAGAGAACATTTTCTAATCGAATTCGATTTGATTGAAAGTAATGTCTACACCGCTAAAATTATGAAATCATCTACTAATTCTGGGATTGTTTAAGTAGACATTAAAGGAACGAGAATTTTAGATGGCTTAGATATATTTCATATGAAGGTCACTGGCCCTCCATATAATGCTACTGATAAGCATACTATAGGTGATGCAAAGAAAACCATGCGAACAGAGATTTTGAATTTGGTTGCAATATTGCGAAACCATCTTGATTGTAGAATAAGTCTTGTAACAAAAATTAAGGTGTATAGCATTCAATTTATAAGTAAGTAGAATGCATGTTTTACTTTTATGTATTAATGATTGTATTTTTTTTCATATTTTGATTCTATCTTGTTAGATGCTCGACTAACTCTATATGCTTTAAGTATGCTTCCTGATGGCCATTTCCTCATAACTGAACTTGCCACTGCTGTTATACCTTTCAGTTTTAATGGTCGAAGCCAATACAAAGGAGTTCTTAGAATGATGGCTATCTTCCATGTACGTGCTTTGATTGGTTGCCCGATAATCGTACTACCATTTTTTCAAGATATTTATGTGGTATCTTTCTGTAGTCCGAAATTACTAAACAGGAAGAAATAATGAAAAAAGTCATTCGGTTTGTACTTCGGCCTAAGGATAAAACTGTCCGCCAAGTACTGAAGATACCCGAATTGGAATGATACTGATTTTCATTATTATAAGATTACACTGCCATATAAATTAGTTTTAGAAAACAAAATCGTTTAGCTTTATCACGGGACTTAGACTGTTGTACTACGCACCCTATATAATAAGTAAAATCAAACTACCCCAGGATCGCCGTAAAAAAGTTACTGTCACGTGATGCTCGACAAATAGCGAGTCTCGCTTTGGTGCAACGTAACACAATCAGGAAGATCAAAACAAAACGTTCGTTTTTTCAAAAGTCGCTTATTTTTCAAAAATTTGCATAAGAAACCACCTTCTGCGTTCTAACAAAAAAAATTTTCTTGAGCAATTTTACTATAAACCCACTAACACTTGGCCCCATAACCCTAACTTAAACGAACTTAAAGATTTTTTAATACGTCACGGATACTATCACGTGACAGTAACTTTTTCACGGCGACGCTGGGGAAGATGTAAAATCATAGATGATCATATGATTTATAAAGTTAAAAAATTTTCATTCACAATATCTTTACTTTGCCCACACATCTGCGTCGGTCATCAAGGACGGTGGATGTTGCTTGGAAGTGCGAGGGGAGATAATCACGTCGGTCATCAAAGACGGTGACCTCCTCATCGCAGTCCTGTTTCGCCGGTTTGCCATCAATGGTGATCGGTCAACAGAGGTGCGAGTAAGAAAACTTCACTTGCCATCAAGGGTGGTGAACTTTCAGCTCGTAAAGGTAGGCCATCAAGCTTCGTGTCGGTCATCAATGACGGCGAACTGATGGAGAACAGTGATGGTTGACACCTGCCTCAACTGGATCTGGGTTTAATCTTATTTTTTGCGTTATTATTATCCTTTTTACTAAGTATTAATAGCTATTATTATTTTGCAATTTTACGATTGAGGAAATTAAGAAGGGAGGCTTCATAGCATCAATATAAGAATTTTAATACCAAATAATTTCTATTCATAGTTACTTTAAAGCTCATCACGTTTGCTATTCCCTAGAACGTCATGCAACTCGAAGACACCTATAAATATGGATAAGCTTCTAGAAACAACAATTATGGAAAAGTAACAAGTAATTAGTTATTGAATGCATAACCCTGAGATAAAAAATAATTACTAATTTTAATGATTATTTTGCGAGAAAATGTGAAGGCTTTTGGGTCTATATATTATAATTATTTATAGGTCGAAAAATTTGAATGTTTGATTAATGAAGCCCTTAATTTTTTGTATTCTTTGAGGAATGACGATTTTTGGGTTTTCATCATACCATACCTCAAGAAGAAAAATTCCGTTATTTTGACACATGCATCTTTTTTGCCGATCACGGTTAACAATATCTTCTAGCTTTTTAACATCCTTATACCAGCTAGTGTTATGAAGCCGATGTTGAGCCCCTTGTACTTCCAATGCAATTTGGTATTTCTGAAAGAAGGCATCAAGTTCTAACCCATTCAAGAAAGGAGGACGATACTCAACTATAGGTTCTTCATTAAGAATTTCTTTAGCTATCTGAATGCATTTATTCTGAAATTTGCGGTTTTTCTTAAATCTCAATTCTTTTTTAAGTACTGTTACACCCTGTTCCAATTTCTCAATTCTTAGCTTTAAGTTCGGCCTGTTCCTTTCTCGCTTGTGTAATCCTATCATCATTCTCTGTCTGAAGCTTGATGACTCGTTTTAACAGATCTAATTCAGATTGTGTATCTACCATTGTTTTTACATAAAATTCGGATGTATTCAAAAGTTCGTTTTATTAGCATAAATAACTAAATATAATTAGAAGTACATGTTACGTTACGTAAACACAAAATAATAAAAATCACTTTCACCAAGAAAATTCTCGATCACATATAGCATCGATATCAATGCAACGTAACAAATCCTGAAATACACATGCAGAAGTGAACACGATTAAATATATTTTATTACAGCGAATAAAAATAAATTCAAGAAAGATATATATCATCCCTTTATTGTTACAAATAAATTTAAGATAAACAGATGCCGGATAATACAGTACATGATAAAATACAAATAAAAATTTATCTATCTATTTTTTGTTAATTTTTTGTATGCGACGTTTCTTAACTTCATGCTCATCACACATTGAAATCCTATCCCTCAACAGTTCCACAACGACTCCAATTACTTCTTTCACACCTCTTCTAATCGATTCAATATCTTCACCTAATGCTGTTTTGGATAAATTGATCCGATATTCACTTTTACTGGTAGAATATAGCCCTTCCGTAGCGAGTTTAATAAAGAGGAATTATTTGCGTACATCGGTTTCGTGTAACATCACGTACATCAATTTTTTTTAGCCAAAGAAAATTGCTACG